GGACCAACATTATGCCTCTAAAAAATCAAGGCTAACATGATTAGTTTTCGAAATATTAAAAAAAAACGAAAATGGAAATAATAATAATATGCCTTTATTTTTTTGTGTAAAACAAATAATTATTTTTTAAAAGTTCGGTAATATAAATGGCGGCGAGATCTCGCAGGGCTACTCATTCTAACCGCGCATTTTAACAATAGTATACACAAAAGTACATTATCAACTTAAAGAATAACACAAATAATAATAAACGTCACAATCTAAGCAAAATATTATAAAACTATTATATTCTCAGACCAATAATACGTTTCGTTATTGCTGTTTTAAAACTGGGCACAGTGGAACAGGCCGTAATATTTACAGGCAGGGAATTATACATTTTCACAGCATTATAGCTGAAAGAACGTTGAAACAACAGAATAGTGCCTGGGCATAACAAATTTATTACAGTGTCGAGTAATTATGTGATGAATATTTCTACCACGAGTTAGTTTTTCACACAAATTGTAAGGTTGCCCCCGAGTAGTAATCTTATAAATTAATGTTGCCATATGGACAATAAATCTCTCCTCCAATTTTGGAGTACTTTCGAGTATTATAGCAAAATTTTAGACAAGAATTTTGTAATTTCTATAGACTGTTTTTATTTCAACTGAAAGACAATCTTTGTGCATATAGAACATCTTTAACTTATAGTAACACTTTTGCAACAAATGTGACATATGCACTTTATACCTAAGATTAGTATCATCATATACTTTAACAGATGTGGAAGGAATTAGGTCGACTCCATTGATGTTGATTTTAAAATTGTTATAAACAAATCACAAAACTTTTATTTTACAATTAGTTGAATACACCGGATATAAAAGGTAACGCTCCTTAGTGAGCAAAACTACGAATGTATACATTATAAATCGAATAGCCCCACATGATGGTCAAACAACAATAAACTGCGCCAAGGTCGGCCATAAGAATCCATAACTGACAGTTTGCAACAAAATTATTATTATTATAAACTTCTTCATTGCCAAATATTATCAACTGGGATTTCGTTCCATTTAGAACGAAATAATTTAAAAAAGTCAACAGTGTATATAGCAAAAAGCAATGGCCCCAGTATACTTCCATGAGGTACACCTCTATTCAGTGTAATATAATCTGAAAATGAATTNATAGGTGGATTAGATATTTGTATGTAGGGTAAAGAATTTACAATAGCTGAATTCATTTCTACTATGTTTGTTGGTCTGTCTGTGAGTCTAATTGAAAATTTTGTTCGTTATTATCAGAATTTGCATCTCTTTCATTTATTGATGAAAAATAATCTGATTGGTCATGATTATCAGTATAATCACTTTCATAATACCTACTCTTG